AGATGGAGGTCAGGTGATGGATGGGACTGCCAAGAGCCAAGGCCAAAAAGTGGCAGGGCCCAGTACTGACAGAGTCCGCCACTGGGTCTGAGATTATGTAGAACAGGGTGGGGGTTGGGATTATTCGTGGCGTCTAGTAGGAGACAAGGGATATTTCTTACAGAGACTCACCAGCAACAAGGACTGGGCTTCCCAGGACAACCAAAACCCCTCTGTACCCACTCAGTCATAGCCTAGACCCCAGAGCCCACCTGCGTTCTTGCCATTCTCTCAGAGGGGGCACTAGGGGCTAAAGTGAGTTTCCTTTTTTCCTTACAGGAGGCCCAGTTGGCCACGGAGTATGTCCAGCATATCCAACAGGCCCTGGACATCCTCTCTGCGGAGGTAGGAGAGAGGCTGCATGTTCCTGGGTCCCGCCAGCTGCCTCCCTGGGATGTATCTAGGCAGGTTGTGTTCAGTGAGATGCTCACTGAGCAGAGACCCACCCTGAGTGGGCACCTGGATGGCAGGGAAGGAGGAGCTGCCAGGCTCCTCGGCTGGGGAAATTCTCACTTGGCCAGAGCCAGGCTTGTGCAGTAGGAATGAGCTTGCCTCTCAACCAGCTGGCCCAGGTTTGCAGCCAGCACTGTGGCTTCGGGCAAGTGACTTCTCTATCGACAAAGCAGGGCCACTCAAGAAGATTCAGTGAGATAGTACAAGCCACATCCCCCCTCTGGGCCTCAGTTTCTTCACTGGTGAAATTGGGGGCTGGGAATTGGGTTGTAGATGATCCCCAGGTTCCTCCTGGCAGTAGCCAGTGCCCTCCCCCCACAACTGCCTGGGGCCTGACGGCGCCATCCCTCTACTCCCGGCAGCTCCCAAGGGCTTTCGTCAACGTGGTAGAGGTCATGGAGCTGGCCAGCCTGCACCAGGGCCAAGGCGGGAGATGTGCCATGCTGGCAGCTCAGTAAGTTGACGGGTCACTGTCCCAAGGCAAGGGCACCTGGGGTGAGGAGGGCTTACAGGTACCAAAGGAGGAGACCAGCTTAAGCAGAGCCAGACGGGCCTGCCAGAGGATAGACAGGGCTCAGGGGCTTGGAAAACAGCAGGAAGTACCTCCACACCTGCGAATGCCTACTGCATGCAAGGCGCTTCATTTCATTTCTCTAGACCCTAGTTTGCTTTTCTGTAAAAGGAGACAGACCAAATGATACTTAAGGCTCCCAGGCATAGTCAGTGATTGCCAAGTTCAACCTTGGCGAGTTGCCCCCTGTGGTGAGGCAGCCTGGGGCCATGAGCTTTCAAGGCTGCTACATCCGGCCTCAACTCCTGCTCTGCCATTTAGGAGCTGTGGTTCCTTGAACAAACCACATAACCTCCATGCGCCTCTATCCTCCTCATCTGTAAAGCGGGGGTGATGACACCTTCCCTGCAAGGAAGATGTGAGGTCAAGAGGAAGCAATGAAGGTACCTGGCCTACCGAGAGCAGGGTCTTAGGAAATAGCCCTTATTCCATCCTTGATGGGACCTGTCCTTAAAGCTGGGCTTGGAGGCAAGGTGCCGATGGGCAAGACGGGAACTCATGTCGGGCTGGAGTCGTTAAAGCTCTGGAACCCTGGCGGGAAGTTGCCATGCTCTGAGGGCAGAGGCCTCCCAAAGTTTGAGTGACTGTTGCTATGAGAGAGGAGATTCTCCAGGGAGCTGAGAAGTCCCACACCTGGGCTCAAATGGATTTGCTGCAAAGTGACCAGCTGCTTCCCATTCTTGTAAGGAACCCTGCTCTCTTGCGGGGAACGGCTCTTCCAGAGTCTGCCTGTATCGTGTTCCATGTTGTCAGGGTGGCTTCCAGCCGGTGGGCCCTCCCCAGCTTTCCCACAGACTTCCCACACTGGCGCCCTAAGCAGCTGCAGGAAGAGCTGAGAGGCCCCAGGAACATGAGCAGCGATTGCATACCCAGGGACAGAGCCATCGTGGCTGGCTTCCAACACTCCCGTCTCCTATCCACCCAGTCCTGCTCTGGAGAAGTCCCAGGGACCACAGGCTCGGGAAGGAGGAGTGAAGGAGTGAAGGGAATAGGCGTTCTGTCCACAAGGAGGCCCCAGCACCAGGGCCAGCTCTCCCACTTTCTCTATGAATAAGCATCCTCTGGACCTCATGGCTCCTGAGTTAGGGTTCTGTGACCTGGGTCTGAGGGTCAGACAAAGGTGTGCGTCACCCTCCTGCCCCCAGGTAAGGCAGTACAGGCACCTGGGGTAGCAGGCTGCTCTGTGTGTCAGAGCCAGCCTCCCAGGGGGACAGAGCCACCAGGCCCTGGGGAGCCTCAATCCAACATTCCCTGTCTCTCAGGAACAACTGCACTTGCCTCAGACCCTCTCAGAGCTCCCTGGAGAAGCAAGAACTGAAGAAAGTGAACTGGAATCTCCAGGTAAACCCTGCAGCCCCTCTCTTACTGGCCCAGCTGGGGGGGCCCTGTAATCCCCAAGCGAGGATTCGGAAATGGAATGTCAAGCAGGATTTGGCTGAGAGCAAGCCACTCCCTGACAGTAGATCGCAGCCCCTGAAATACCCCTGCAAACTTAACACCACGGCCAGAAAAGGGAGTGAGAGACCCCAAAGTGGAGGCTGAGAGAATCCCCTCCTCCCAGCAGGTAGGCAGCAAGAGACTCGCAGAGTAGATTCCATGTGGTGGGACCATTCCCCGCCCAGAACCGTGTGTAATAATTACTACTCACTTCCTCCCCTCCCTTCATTAAAAACAAAAGGCTTAGGCCTGGCACAGTGGCTCATGCCTGGTGTCTCAGCTACTCAGGAGGCTGAGGTGGGAGGACAGCTTGGGCCCAAGAGTTAGAAGCTGCAGTTAACTATGATCATGCCATTGTACTGCTGCCTAGGCAACAGAGTAAGATCCTATCTCAAAAAAAGAAAGGCCTTAGCCCTGCCCTGCTTACCACTACCCCAAATTCTCCTCGCCATCTCTCTACCCCTCCCCCATCTCCCCACCTCCACTCCTGCTTATGTTTCTGCCTCTGTTGTTCCCTCTCTGGAAATACTACCTGAGCCTTTCTGCAAACTGACCTGTCCTCATTCACAAGCCAAGTCTGCTTCCCTTCTCTAAGGAGCTTCCCCTGCCTGAACTTCACCCTCAGACGTCTCCCATATCACATCAGTCTGTACTTGATGGGCCCTCAAAGCCCTGTAGGGTTCTCATGTTTTCACATCTTGTCTCATTTTCCCAGATGGATGATACATACACTCCTTGAAGATGAGTACATCTAGTCTGTTCCTTTTACATTCCATGCTTGGGCACTTAAGAAATCCAACAACCATGGACTCTTCTACAAAATTCACGGGCGTTTGGGGAGCTGGTGTTGAGATGCTTCCCATCTGACCCACAGCCCCATGTTCTAATTGACCTATTCATGCAGTGAGAGCAGGAGAGGGCTTTGACCCAGGCAATCTGGTCAGTGGCTCAGACCCAGCCTTGCAGAGGCTTTGGAATGGGACTGGGTGGAGCTATGCAGATAGATAGGGAGCTTCTCCCACCAGGAGCCGCTGGGTTCAACTCATCTCTGATCGTGAGAACCAGCATTAGGCCTTGCAGTGCAGGTAACCATGAATAGGTAGAGAATAAAACATGCATCCAGCCCACTAGAGTAGCCCCTTCAAGTCACTTTCGTCTAAGGTGAGTTGACTACTGTCACAGCCAATCCAAGGCAGCCGGACTTGGTCCTGTCTGTGCAGCTTTGCCAGGAGGGTTGAGTAGGTTCTCTCTCCATCCCCAGGATGGCATCTCCAGGTTCTCCTACTGGCACCAATACACACAGCGTGAGGACTTCACGGTTGTGGTGCAGCCTTTCTTCCAAAACACACTCGTTCCACTGAATGAGGTGAGCTGTGGGCATTTCAGGGAGGCTCAGGTATGGAGCCTTATCACAGACAATGGATGTATTTCTTTCTCTAAGTGGGCATTTTTTTTTTTAAACCATCTCTCTCCAGGAGGGCTCTAAGGGTCGCTTTTTCTGCATTACCTCCCTTTTGTGGAGGCTGGTCTGTGACTGGAACTCAGAAGTCCTTGGAAAGAAAAAAGGAAATCAATAGTGACTAAGCCCCCCAGGCCTGGCCCTGATATTTTCTGGATTGGGATAAAATGTTACTCTTTTCAACTATTAGTATAGGGATGCCGAAATAAAAGGGAGACTATGGGTCGCTCCAATTCATGTCTGTTTACAAAGAAAATTCTGGCCAGGCACAGTGGCTCACGCCTGTAATCCTAGCACTTTGGGAGGCCGAGGCAGGCAGATCACGAAGTCAGGAGTTCGAGACCAGCCTGGCCAACATGGTGAAACCCTGTCTCTACTAAAAATACAAAAAGTTAGCTGGGTGTGGTGGCAGGCACCTGTAATCCCAGCTACTCGGGAGGCTGAGGCAGGAGAATCTCTTGAACCTAGGAGGCGGAGCTTGCAGTGAGGCGAGATCATGCCACTGCACTCCAGCAACAGTGCGAGACTCCATCTCAAAAAAAAAAAAAAGAAAAGAAAAGAAAAGAAAAGAAAAAAGACAATTCCAAATTCTGTGAGTTTTTCCATCAGTATCTGAGCCAGTTGGCAGGAGAATTGAAAGGATGAAAGGAGACCTGCCCGGGGCACCTGCTGAGAGCAGGGGTCGGGGAGTGGAGCCCTTTCCCAAGATGGTAACCTACTTGCCTTTGGTCACAGAGAGGGGCTGCTGACCTCACCTTCTTCTCCGAGGACTGCTTCCACTTCTCAGAACGTGGGCATGCTGAGATGGCCATCGCACTCTGGAACAATATGGTGAGCAGCCAAGGGCCTGGTGGGCCTTGTCAAGGGGGAATCCAAGAGTATTGACTGTGTATCTCACAATGGCAAACCTACTGGAGACAGGGCTCCTTTCTCCCCAAAGCCCAAAATGGCAGCACACCTTATTGGCCCTGATTATTCCCAAAGAGAAAATACCCTATATTATTCAAACACTCTTTGAAAATGACACACACACACACTCACTCTCTCTCACACTCTTTATTCTTTGTTCCTTCAGCAATGCCCAGGTACTGTGAGGAGATCCCTTTGTAATCAGATAGATTGGCTGGAATGGAAATACCAACTTCCACCTCTTACTGTGTGACCTTGAGCAAACAATCTCTGGCCATCTGTATCAACATCTATAAAACAGTGAAAACAACACAGGTCTCAGAAAATAAACAGTTGGCACTCAGCAAATGTTAGCACCATCAGCCTTCCAAGCACTCTGGGCTCAACTCATGCCCAATTCGTTTCTTTAAACATTGAAAAGTGGAGATCCATACAGCCTGTTTTCCCAGACTGATACCTATCCCAGTCCTTTCTGATGGGAAGAAAGGACCTTATGAAATGAACATACAGTCCCGGGGTCTCAGGGACACCTGGCTGGTGCATCAACTCTGCCCTCTGTGGCTGGCACCCACAGCAGAACAGTGTCTGCACAGCACTTGACCTGTCACCTCCAACAACTGGTCCTCTTGCACGGAGCAAATGAAATGCTTTCCCAATCCAATGGTCTCTTTTAACCTAAGCTCCGTGGGTAACACAATCCTCACTCCAACCTGTGTGTTCTCTCCGTTGTCCTGTGACAACTAAACAGGCCACATTCCAGCTCCTTTTATCACAGTTTCAGGCCCATGGTGTCTCTGCCAACCACCGCTGTGCAAACATTCCCACCCCTGTCAGCTCACCCAGTATGCTCAGCGTCTCACTCGGCTGACTCGCAGCACTGACTTTCTCCTTAGCTACGCCACCTCTTCCTCTCTAGCGACCTCTTCTTTTCAGAACAGCATGTAAACTGGCTTTATCCTTGGCCTAGTTAATTATAGACTCAGCTTATGTCTATTGTCACTGTCCTGGGGTTTTCCTCCTGTGGACGTCACATATCTGCCCACTCCAAGAACGTCTGTTGTACTCTTTCAGCCCAAGACTCTGGATTGCAACCAAACCAAAATATCTTTGAGTTTCCCCTACAATTTTTAAATCGTAGTTTATATGGTGTAGTTCCTGTTTCTTTTGTGGATTTTCTTTTGAAGGCTAGTTGTCCTTCAGTGGCTGAATCATGTGACTTTACCCCTTTGTAAAAATTCTCCCAAAGGAAGGGTACCTATTCCCTTTCTCCTTTTCCCCTGAGACCTCAAGGGAATCCACAGATTCCAAAAAGAGCTAAAGAGAGCTAAGCCCTTGGCCCTTCCTTCCCAGGTTTTTCATCAGGGTATGGCCTTTCCACCTGGGTGGCACTCCAGGTCCGCGTAAAGCTGGGACCCTCCAGCAATCTCCTGGGTCTGGACAGTTGTAGTGATGGCTGGAACATGAAAAAGAATCCACTGGTTTGTTTTTGTGTGAATTAACCATGTAGCTCTGACCAGGCATGGTGGCTCATGCCTGTAATCCCAGCACTTTAGGAGGCCAAGGCAGGTGGATCGCTTGAGCCCAGGAATTAGACGCCAGCCTGGGCAACACAGGGGAAACCCTGTCTCTACAAAAAAAAAAAATCAAAAAATTATCCAGGTGTGGTGGTACATACCTGTAGTCCCATCTTTTCAGAGGGCTGAGGTGAGAAGATCATTTGAGCATGGGAGATCGAGGCTGCAGTGAGCCGAGATGTTGCCACTGCACTCCAGCCTGGGCAACAGAGCGAGACCCTATCTCAAAAAACAAAATACAAAAAAATCTATGTAGCTCTGGCCTTCTCTTCCAAAGCAGTTCAGTACCTCTTCCCATTCACCCAGGTAAGAGGCCTTTATTTGATAAAGATACGTGGGAGTAGTTTAGATATGAAAACAGAAGGTAAACACTGCCCTGGAGCTATTGTGGAAACAAACCAAGACTGTCTACAGTTCCCCAGCCACATGATCTCAGCCATCCCCCAAACTTCAAAATTACAAAAACACAGCAAAACTAAAGCCATCCAGGGTTTCTTATCCTAGGCTATATAATTTGGGGAAATAATTACACAGTCCAATGTTTTTATCCAAAGCCAATCTTAGAGACAAAGCTATAGCATCACGCCAACTTTTCAGATCTACTTCTGCCTGGAATTTCACCCCTAGAGTAACATAAAATAAATCATAGACCATTAGAGCTGGAACAGGCTGAGAGGTCATCTAGCCAGAACATTCTGTAACTAAAATATAGACATGAAGCAGTTTGCCCAACATAACACAGACTGTTGGTGGCACTAGGGGCATTGGAGTCCAGGTTTTCCTAGTCCTTTCCTGGTGACTGGCCACACCACCACCCTCCCCGCTGCCCCCAACGTGATAAGCACATATATACGTGGTGAATTCATGTCTCACAATTAGAGTCCTATGACATAGTGTCTGCAGGCTTTGGCTGATGTTCCCAGGGTTCCCTACTAGGGAAACAAAAGGCACTTTAAATTATTTCATCTCCTACCCACTCCTGTCACATCCTTCTCCAGAGGCCTTTGCAAAGGCAAAGCCAGAAACACCAGCCGCACCAGAGGATGTTTCTTTCCCTCTTCCTCTGCCTTCTTTCGTCTTCTTATCAAGCGTTTCTCTTAGTCCTCTACTGCTGCCTGCTCCCTCTCCGGAGGAAATCCTACTCTCAGCCAGCATTTGTGTCTCCCCAGGTGCTGGGTGACAGCTCCAGCCTCCCAACTGACATCCCTGTCTTCACACTTACAGCCCTTAGAATAGCAGTTCTCAGCTCTGACTGCATATTACAATCATCCAGGGATTTGTATTTTATTTATTTATTTCTGCAGCAGAGTCTCACTCCGTTACCCAGGCCAGAGTGCCGTGGCGCGATCTTGGCCCACTGCAACCTCTGTCTCCTAGATTCAAGCGATTCTCTTGCCTCAGCCTCCCAAGTAGTTGGGATTACAGTTGCCCACCAGCATGCCCAGCTAATTTTTGTATTTTTATTAGAGACAGGGTTTTGCCATGTTGGCCAGGCTGGTCTTGAACTCCTGACCTCAGGTGATCCACCCTCCTCAGCCTTCCAAAGTGCTGGGATTACAGGTGTGAGCCACCGCGCCTGGCCATCCAGGGACTTTTAAAGGAGTTAGTGCCTACAGCCACTCTGGAAAACTCTGGTATGTTTAATAATGTTGAACACATGTATTTCCTGTGATTCAACAATTTCACTTCTAGGTATATCCCCAAAAGAAACGTATACACGTGTTCAGCAAAATATACACGTAAGAATATTCTCAGCAGCACTATTTATAAATAGCCCCAAACGAGAAACTCCCCAAATATCCTCTGAGATTAGGATAGATGAATAAGCTGTGGCACATTCATTCTAAGGAATACCATACAGATCTGACTGCAGGGTGAAGTGACACAGAGTAATGGCCGCGAAGAGGGCAGCCTCACTGAAGGGATGACAGTTGAACAAACTTCAACAGCATACAATAATATCTCTAAAGTTCAAAAGTCAGCAGCTTGGCATATGGGGTTAAGGGTCAGCATGACAGCATCTCACTGGGGGATGAATCGTCCTGGAAGAAGGTGGAAAGGGGCTTCTCAGTACTCGTAGTCGTCTGTTGCCTGATTGGATGCTGGTGTGTTCATTTTATCAAAACTTATCTGTTGCTCACTTACGATTTATACTAGTTTCTATGTGTATGTTAGCTTCAATTAAAAGTTTCCTGGAGGCCAGGTGCCATGGCTCATGCCTATAATCCCAGCACTTTGGGAGGCCAAGGCAGGTGGATCACCTGAGGTCAGGAGTTCAAGGCCAGCCTGACCAACATGGTGAAACCCCATCTCTACTAAAAATACAAAATTAGCTGGGTACTGTGGCACATGCCTGTCATTCCAGCTACTCAGGAAGCTGAGGCAGGAGAATTGCTTGAACCTGGGAGGCAGAGGTTGCAGAGAGCTGAGATTGCCTCACTGTACTCCAGCCTGGGTGACGAGAGTGAAACTCTGTCTCAAATTAAAAAAAAAAAAAAAAAAGTTTACTGGAAAACAATACCAGTGCCTGACTGGGCATGTCCCGAGATTCTGACTTAATTGGTCTGGAGTGTGAGCTGGATCCAGTACTTTGTGAAAGCTCCTGAGGTTATTTTAATGTGCAGATATGAACCACCGCCTTAGATCTGGTCCCCACAGAGAAATCAAGTAATCTGTATAAAAGAAAACCCGACCAAGCTCCTCCCCCGCTTTCAAACTTCCAGAGCTCCCCACCTCTGAAGGAGGCAGGCCAGGCCCCATGGCACAGCACTCCAGGCCTCTGGGGGTCGGCCTGGCTCCCCTGACTAACCTCTCTGGCTACCGTTCCCACCAGCCTCTGCCTCACATGTCGCAGTCCAGTGGCTCCTGCGGCGTCCTGCACCACCCGTGGCGTTCCACACCTCTGCTCACTCTTGCTCATCTCCTTCTCCTGGACTGCCCTTCTCTCTCAGCTCCTTGCCCAGCCCACCACTCAACTCAGGTGCCACCTCCTACAGGAAGCCACCTCTGAATCTCCAGAACAGGCCAGTGGCCAACCCAGGTCCAGTAGACCCTGCCCAGTCTTATCATTTGCTACACGGTTGGTAGCCACAGTGCCTGGCTTAGGAAAGGTTGGTTCTAGGAAAAACACTTTCATTCCCTGTGACCAGCTCCAAGCCTTCCCCCGCCAAGCTTCTCCACTCAGGTCTTTGTGACTTCAATTAATTCATCCATCCGTCCACCCAACAAGTATTTACTGAGCACTGCTATGTGCTAGGTGCTGCTCCCGGTGCTGAGGACTCAGCAGTGAAAAAGAGAAGCGGACTCCTGCTCTCATAGAGCGTTCAGGATAGTAGGGAAAAGACAGATAATCAACAAGGTCATTTCTGAGCACATCTGTGGCTTAAGAAAGAGTCAGGCAGGGTGATGTGACATGGGGTAATGGCTGAGGGGGACAGGGAGGCCTCCCTGAAGAAGCGACAGTGAGTGGCGATTTGCATGTCAAGAGGTTGCCTGGCAGAGGAAATAGGACCTAGGTAGGCCCAGAGTCAGGAAGGAGCTTGAAGTCTGAGGAACTTAAAGGCCAGTGTGACCAGAGGGAAGTGAACAAAGTCAAAGAGTTGAGCAAGGTTCTAAGAGGAGAATGGTATGCTCTGGCTTACCCCTGGCTCCGTGCAACCCTGGACCGGAAGAAAGCAACGGTGGACCGGGAGAGACCTCTAGGAGGCTGCTGGTGACAGGTGGGAGACGATGGGGGCTGAGACTCGGGTCATGGCAGAGGAGGAGAGAAGCACTCAGATTTAGGATGTGTCACGGGCTGGCGGATGGATGGGGGGAAGAGAAACTGAGGATGGCTTTTTGGTTTGGGGTCTAAGAAACTGGGTGGATGGTTGAGCAGGTAGAGAAAAATCAGCTTGGGAGGAAAAAATCAAGACTTCTGTTTTGGACATGGTGTGAACTGCCTTCCAGACATCCACACAAGGGTGTCAGGATACAGAAGTCTGGAGCTCAGAGAGGAAGTCAAGGCTGGAGACTGGGGGAAGAAATGGGGTTATTAGCATAGCGGGCCAAAACGGTGAAATCCTGTCTCTATTAAAAATACAAAAACTAGCCAGCGTGGCAGTGGGCATCTGTAATCCCAGCTACTCAGGGAGGCTGAGGCAGGATAATTGCTTAAACCCAGAGGCAGAGGTTGCAGTAAGCCAATATCGCACCATTGCATTCCAGCCTGGGTAACAGAGCAAGACTCCATCTCAAAACAAACAACAAACAAACTACAGGATCAACTAAAAGCTACTAGAGAAAGAATAGCTAGAAAAGAGTGTAAGGCCAGGCACAGTGGCTCACACCTGTAATCCCAGCACCTTGGGAGGCCGAGGTGGGCGGATCACCTGAAGTCAGGAGTTCAAGACCAGCCTGACCAACATAGTGAAACCCTGTCTCTATTAA